CCCCCCCCCGCGCAGAGCCTCTGCAACCGTCAAACCCGTCTCTGTGCGCGACCACACCCCCCTGCAACTGTCGTCGCACACCTAAAAAAAATATCCTGACTATGCGTCGGACGGTCGCAAACCCGCACAGACCTCAAGCAGAAGTGACAAAAAGCCGCTGTGATTGGTCCTTGCTATGCCTTTCCGGCTGTCTTTGTGGTCATCCTTCTCGATTTGGTGCCGGGAGCGCCATTATCAAAAACCGAGGAGCAACTACGACGAAAGGTTAATCGAGGAGGTTTAGAAGTACAATCCGTCGAGGTTCTCGTGAGTTCTCCAATAGGCTCCCCTTAAGCTTTGGCAGCAAACTGCTGTACCTCCCTAGAAATTCCAGACTGACGGTGCAGAAGCAAACCAGCAGAACTGGTTGGCGACCAGCGCCAAGCGACATCTGATGTGTGCGGATACAGAAGTCTAATCTGCCCTTAACTCTCTTGGTCTCCCGCTGGCAGAACTCTTCTATCTCCATGGCTCTGTGCAGAAGTATCCAACCTGTCATTCATACAAGACAGAGCACCTCATAGATGGAAACCCCTCCCTCAATAAACGATGTTGACTCTGTAATCCAGGACTAAATAGACTTAATGTTTCCTAAAAAGGCTTCATCTCTCGTTTACGACACTTCTTCCAAACATAGCTTGAGAGTTAGCAAAAGCAACACCAAGAAAGAAAGGCGGGTTTAGGTGTCATCCTTCTCACCCATAATGTGTCGGAAACCAGACCTAACCTTAACTGGTTCCCCTGGACCAGCTTTTTAGATACCACAGAAGAAGAGCATGCAAACGCACGCCATGTTTTTGCTTTTTCTTCTAAAACTCTATGAAAGCCATATGCACTACTTAGGGTTGGTCTACAATGCGCAATTAAAATAAAATACATTGAGAGCTGTTGTTATATATTTAAAGAGGGCTCTAAACCTTTTGGAAAAAAGCTAGGAACTTTTCTTCTGCAAGGCACTGAATAAAAACATCCCTTGAGGCCAATATGGCTGCATAAAGCAGGAAGAGTGAATGATGCATGCATCTATTGATCGGACGATGAAGCGATGGTGAGGTCTCTGATTAGTTGGGAGTAAAGACAGGCGTACCCTCTCCCTGGCTGCCTTGTGGCGTGCCTACACACACCTCTGCCATCCTACTGCATCCCTTCCCTCTTAAAAAAGAAGGAATGTAAAACATATCTACAAAAGAAAAAACAAACTGTTGGAAGGTTTGGGTTAAGGGACATTCTATACATCAATAGCTATATGGAGGTTTAGTCACTGGTCATCAACACTGAATAGGTAAAGGCTTCTGCAGCGTGGAATGTTGGCTGGAATGACGACTTTTACAGCGAAAAAACATTGAAAAAACTGATCATTAATATATTGTTTTACTTTCTTTGAGGGGATCCTGAAGAGCAGGCTTTTCTTCTAGAATTAGACCATCTAGATCTTGCTCCTCTTTATGAGGTATGTTGGAAAGTTCAGAGTTGGGCTGAAAAATGAAAATAAATTAGAATCCTTTAAATTGAGAAAAACCAAACAACAATAATGTGATTAGGAGTGGTTGTTTGCTTCATACTTCAGAGTCCCATGGACTTTCCTCTTCTTCCTCTGTGGTCAGACCCAGCTCTGAGCGAAAATCTAAATCACAAATTAAGTTGATTACTTTCAATGGAAATAAAAAAAAGACAGAATACATTACAAAGCAGGATTTTTAATCCTTAAATCCTCAATATATTTAATTATATTTTATAAATACATTGATTCTCCTGTTCATCCAGCCAAGATGTGATAAAAAAGTAAAGCTGATAATCCCAGACATAATGGATCAATAAAGATCATCCATTCACTAAACTTTCTCTATCACTCTGACAGCTATCACTTTGGGTGGAGGGATGGATGATGGATGGAGGGATGGTGGGTGGATGATG